GCCAGCAGGTCAACCAGAACTGCAGCTGTTCTCATACTGTGGCCATCCCTGGGAGCGTTCAAGGTCAGGCTGGATGGGGCATTGAGCAACCTGGTCGAGTGCCAGATATCCCTGCCATGGCAGGGGGCTTGGAGCTAGATTGTGTTTAAGGTTCCTTCCACCACAATCATTTTATCATATTTTGATTATTCTGTGTTCAGTAATATGCACCAGGTACATAGTGAACCGTCAAATGCACAGATTAATACTCAGAGGTTGCTGCCTGGGGCAGAAGATGCCCTTGTAAAAATCTGAGGCTTGAAGCAGTCTAATTTGCCCAAAACCACGAGAAACTCTTTCCACCCAGGCAGGTGCCACCATCCCTGCTTGCTCACAGGCTCCTGGCTTCTCTCTCTGAAGCAGCTGGACCTTAATTTGTTGGCAGGAAGGCACTGGAATAAATAGATGACTTTTCCCGTCTGATGTCACATCAGACACTGCTTGGCTCTTGTGTGTATTCTGGCTGGGGGTTTCACAGTCTTTGGGTTCTGCAAGCACTTCTTCACTGGCATGGAAAAATTCCCCCTGATGTGCAAATCCATTCTCCCGTGCCACAGCTAAGCATGGCTGAGATATTGCATCCTAGCTTGGTGTCATACAGAGATTTATGTGTTGCTTTGCTCCATTAATCAAACTGAAGGTGTTCTGAGAGTTCAGCAGACAATTTATGTCCCATTTCTGTCAGACAGTGAACATTGCTGCTGTCTGGCTGAAAGGCTCTTCCACGGGTGCAGTTCAGTCCCTAAAAGTTACCAAACAAAGCATAACAGGAGGAGAGTTTGGCAAAGATTGGCCACTGACAGGTGGATCTGGGGCAACCTGGGCATCATGAACATCAATGACAATTGTCACATTGTCCCCAGAAACACAAACTAAACACAGATTTAAAACAGAGCTCCCAGCTCAGACCAGTTCATGCTCCACACACCAGGTCCATCCCACACAAAATCCATCTACACCTTGTCCTTCTGCTGTGGTGGTCAAGCTCTGTGTTGAGGTCTTTTAGCAGAACCCCAGACACACAGACCTGTGACAAAGCCTTGGAAGTGACCCAAAATAGCTATTCAAATTCTAGTAAGCAATACCCAGCTAATTTATGACCTAGAAATCATTTTTATGCAGTATTTTATACATTCTGCACTTGGTTAAAACCACCTAGTGAAAGGATGGGAACATCTGCCCTGCTGCATCATCTGGTGGAACCCAGACTGGAGAGAAATGAGGGCCAGGACTGTGCAAATATTCAACCTCATTTTAATGTACTCCCTACTGCAGTCAGTGTTAGAGGCCAGGTTGTTTCAGCTTAATCAATACATCAATACAGTCAGTAAATGACAAGGAGAGTTCATATTTGTCCTGTTACTCCAAGACTGCTCATAAAGTCGAGTTCACAATCCCATAAAGGAGCCTGCATTACCCCAGTGGCTGGGAAGGAATTCCGCATTGGCTTCCCATAGGCCTGTCCACAGAGAGAACAGGAAAAGATAATAACAGGGTAAGTAAGAGTAAACTGGAATAAAGCCAAAAGTAAGGCCTACAAATCCAGCAGGGCAATCTCAGCTCATAAATATGACCCACCAAGTGGATACTCTGAATATACTTTTGCCTGACAGAGGCAGACTGATAAACTTGTGGTATAAAAACACCACAAAGTTTTCACAGGCAAAAGCCATTTATTTCACAAGCAAAAGCCATCTATTTTCACATCTGTTTTGCCTGCTTGGAAGTGTGGTGGAAATTTTAGCACCAATCCATTAATCTGGACATCACTGTTTCAAGAGCCAGGGATCATTTAATTTGCCAGTGTGAGCCATTTGGTCCCCACTGCATTCAGAGCCAGGAATCCAAAGACAACACTCAAGGTTTAGCTAACAAGGCAGTTTTGCTGGGGTGGTAGCTGCAAATTCAGAGGTGATATGGGCAGGAAGAATATCCTCTGATGATGAAACAGGTTAAAAAAATTGACAAGAAAGAAAATATAAAGTTTGATGGGCAAAAGAAAAAGCAGGGGAGGGGGGAAAAGGGAAAAAAGTAAAAACAGAAAGAAAGAGAGAAAAAGAAAGAGAGAAAAAGTAAAAATATAGGACTGATGCCATACAGAAATTCACAGCAGGACACATAAGGGACAAGATGTAGAAGCAGAATTAAATGTGATATGCAAGCTGGGTAGACTCAGAATGTATTTCTCCAAGAGCCCTTGCAATTCTTATCCCTTGTGTGGGAGAAGAGTAATGGTAGGACACCACCAATCTCTTTATTCCCCCTCAGCATTTCCCAGAGGTGACCAGGAGCCAAACTGCACTGCACAAGCCATCAATCACTGCTCAGTGTGTGGCTCCACAGACCTGCTGCAAAACATCCACCGTGACTTCATGGACCACAAAGCACAGATAAGAGTCGAGGAGTTAAATCCTTCTGGCAGAGCTAGCACACTCGAGGTGGACAGATCCTCTATCCAAACAGCTTATCTCCAAACCGTATCAATTACTGGAACACGACAGCAATTTGTATCTGCACCAGGGCTTTTTGCCAGTGCAGCTCTCTCAGTCAGATGCCACCAAGAAAGAGATGGGCCAGCAAAGCTTCACAGCAGAGTAAATTTCAGTGCAGCTTTTAAGCATTTAAGCACTGAAGACATCTTTGAAGCAGGACCCAACCCAGTCTGCCTGTGCTGAGGGTGAGCCAGCAGGAGAGGCAGAGCTGGATAACCCTGTCAGCACTGATGTATGGCACATGTCCCTTCAGATTCATCAGAAACATCAGCTGGCCTGCACCTCCATGTGCCTCACAGCTGTCCTAAGAGCATCCTGCTTTGAGGAAGGAGCTCTGCAGGCTCCATGCACATTCCACCAAGGACTGACAGTGCAACTGCTGCTCGCAGTCCTAGAGACCGCATGTCCTCCTGAGCACCACCTCGGCCAGCTGTGCACTGCAGCTGGAAAATTGCCTTCAGCTGAAGGGTACATCTTCCCAGCTGGTCCTTGAGCAGAGTAAAATCTTCAGAGCAGGTCTGGCTCCTGCATTTCTTGGCACAAGGGTGGATTGGAAGCTTGCCAAGGTTGCAGCTGGGGGAAAAAAAGCACATTTCCCACTGCCTCCGGTGAGCTGTGCTGACCACCTGTAACCCCCACTGCTTCTAAGAAGGCAGCTAAGAAAAACAGGAGTGCTGCCAGTAACTTACACAGTTCATAGCCCTGCTGGGGCATTCTGGGATTCCCTGCAGCACAAGAAGTTGAAAACCACAGCGCCAGGGAGGATTATTTTAAATTATTTCATTCAAGTCAGGTTGAAGGAAGAGGATGGGGTATCTGGACTGTCTCCTGTCTGTGTTGGTGCCCATTCCCCACTCGTGTACTTCTTCCCCAAGCTCTTCCACCCTTGGACATCCATGCCCAGTGTCCATGAGTTCCTTGGAGCTGCAGAGTGCAGAGCTACCTTGGAGATGAGGAGAGGGAGCTCTCTCCCTTCCCCACCTCCTCCTGCAGTGCACATCACAAGGCAGCCCCAGCAGTGGGCGAGTGCAGCCCATCCTGCTCTCATCAGCAAGTCTGGTCCTCACTGAGCCTTTGTACTTCCAGGATGTCAGGTTTGCTCTCTTTATGTGCTGACAACACTACTGTGTCTCTGCAAGCAAATAAAGCTGCTGAATAGTCAGCCTGTCCAGTCACACTGGCAGATACTTTCAGTCCAAGAGATTTCACAAAGGACATTGTTCCCCAGTGCAGGAGGTATTAAATTCCATAATTTTGTAGCTGCTTTTCTACTACAAATTTTATCACCAAACAAACAAACAAACAAATCAGCAAGATACGGTGTGATGTTTTCAAGTCTCTTTTTTTTTATTGTCCAAAATAACTATTTCTCATTTCCAGCCCTCATTAATTGCAAGTTGTGACCACCTGATGGGCACCAGTCTGAGCCTCTTCCCCCATTCCTGACAAAGCTTTATGTTCATTCTTATGTTCTTCCACTTGTCCTCATGTTCTTCCATTTGTCCTCATGTTTAAAAAAATTAATAGTCCATATGCTGCAACAATATAATTATTTTAAGCAACCTTCCTGACAAATGTTTGAAGGCTTCCTGTTGACTAATGGGTGGAACTGGACTGCTCCTCTTTCTTTCCAGTTGAGTAGTAATGATTCAAGCAGATTAACTGGTTAAATAAATGTCATTAACCCAGATCATGTCCTTTACAAGAAATAACACTGGTTACAGAAATCAGCTAATAATGGGGTTCATCCAAAGGCAATGAGAAAATATTTTTGTCAATGTCAAAATTTGTCAATGGGCTCAAAATGAAGTTCAACGTGATTTCTGCTAAAGGAGTAAATATGCTGGATGTGATCAACAAACTAAGCTTTCCTTCATTTGCAACAGAATGTGGTCAACATCCCTGAAAATATTCAATATTCTCTTCCTTCCTGTCCTTCAAATCATCCACCACAGAGCCCCAGGTACTAAACACTGCCCTTCACCTGTGATGGCAGAGAGCAGGACAGCTGCACCCCCAGTGAGACCCACCAAACATCAGCCACTGATGAATGCTTCATCATTGCACAGCCTGGAAGAAATAAAATAATAAAAGACTCTCCCAATGATCCATGACCAACCCACCCCAATGCCCGTGGTGGGGAGGCAGGAATCCTGTGCTTTCAAGCCCGGGATGCTCAGTTGGTGGCTGCAGAGACAGGCAAATGTCCCCCTGCCTCTGACCCTGATGGCAGCAGTGTGTGCAGCTCATCACCCTTGGCTGCCTGTACAGAAATAAGATCTTGGTATAAAGGATTTGCTTTTGTTGGGACTTAGGTTGCCTTCAGTTTGGGTTGGATAGATGGGCTGGGTTCAGGATGCCCAGTGGAGGACACGTGCTGATGTGTCTGTTGGCATTTTGGGATTGAAACACATCAAAATGAGGCCACTGGCCTGTGCATAAACAACATTTCTTGCTTCTCTCTTCCAGTAACCGTGACTGTGGGAGGACAACAACATTTGCTGGGGCTTTATGACACTGCAGGACAGGTAAAGGACTGCAAAACATTTATCATTTTCCTTCCCCATGGTTTGTTTGTTGCTATCATGCACTGGGGTTTGTTGTTCATAATGTTTGTGGACTTTGCTGGGGGTTTTTTCACAAATAATAACAATCAGGTTTGAGTTGTAATGGTTAAACTGCTGATCTTCTCCCTTTTGTTTCCATTCTTTTTCAGCAGTAAAATACACACAAATACATTCATCCCTAAGACTGTGTCTTGCCCAATCAAAAAAACAAAGCCTGATGAGACTGTGCAACCCCCCCATATATCCACCTCCTACTGCAAATACAATGTTTTGTGTAATCAGAGTTTTCTTACCTTTACCACATGATGGCATTGAAGAGACAGAGAATAATTCCATTTTTCAAGATCAGAAAACTGATATAATTCAGCACCAGTCACCAGCTGTTGACTTTTTAAGTGGTAACCCAGCCAGATTTGCGTCCATCCCAACATCCCAACATTCTTCTCCCAGGACAAGGGGGTCCATTACAAGACAGTCTGTACCCCATGCTTACTTACATTTAGAATTCTCTTGCTGTTTCCACTGTCCACACTCTGATTGGTGTGATTGCACTCAAAGCTTGCAGAATAATTTCACCCCCCTGGAGAAGAGGAGAAATTATTTCTCACTGCTTTGCTCTGCCAGCAGAAGGGCAGAAGGAAGTACAGGGAGTAATTCATTTTTTGTGGTGAAATTTCCATCTCCCGACTCCAAACGCCAGTGAGTGACAAAATCAAGAAAGGGACATAGTCTGCACAAAAACTTGCAAAAAATCATCTGCTGAGAGCAGAGGGAGGAGGTTCCAGGTTCCTCACAGACTGGGAATGTTGTAACCCACATCCACCAGCTCCTCCAGTCACAGCTGACATTGAAGCCAGCAGGAGAAAAAGCAGATTTGGGAACTTGCTTCACTCCCTCTGGTTCCAGCAGCCCTGGATGCAGGGCTTTGCTTTCACCTCTTCTTGGCTGTATCAGTTTTGGCCATGGCTGACTGCTATGAAAGGCACAAACAGTGCAGAAGGAGACCCTCCTGTCTGCAAAAGGCCACTTCTGGCAGAATATACTTTGCAGCACTCTGCAGAGAGATCAAAAAACCCCCACCAGAACAGACTGTCACTTCCAGAAAAACCTGCACTCAGCAGAACTGGGGCTTTGATGCTTTGGGTTTCACTTTCTTTAATTTTATTCTTATCATGTTTCTGTAGGCAGCATGAGTCTTAGCTGCTTTGGTGGCCCTTACAGACCACACATCTTTCCTATCCACATGGTGCAAACAGATGATTCAAAAGACAATCCCAAAATATGACCCAAGCCCTTGCCCCATGTCCAAATCCTGTTCAGTCTTTTATTCTGTGTCCACAGAGCTCAGAGCCTGTGCCACGATCCATCAGCCCTGCAAGCCTTTGCAAGGCAGACTGGAGTTATATTCAGTTTCCAGTCAGTTTTCACCCCGTGCCTTAATATTCCTACTTGTTTTGTAGGGCTGACAGTTCCACCTGCCACCCATTTCCACAGCAACACCTCCTCTCATTTGTCCTCCTGAGCCAGAAGGAACACTCAGCTCTCTCTTTGACAAGCCTCACCCCTCCATCCATTCCTCACCAGTTTGCCATCCCCTGCTTCAAACCAGACAGTTCACCACCTGCCTCCAAACCCTTTTTCCAGCTCACCAAGCTCAGGTCCCTTCAAACCCTGCTCCAGAGGATGTGGCCATCTAGCCAGAGCTCAGAGTGTGAATCAGCCCTTGATGCCTGGAGTGTCCCCGTGGAGGCTGGAGGGATGATGCTTCCCACATGCTCCAGTTATAACAACAGATCATCTGGGTTGTTTCCTCCCTCCTTCTCCTTGTGCTGTGTGGCTTTCCAAAGGCATCAGTGTGAAGTCATAGCCAGAAATAGCCCTTGACACTGCGATGCTATAAAACATATGCTAATGAAATAACAATTGAAAAATGCACTCCTGCAGCAGGACCCTCTGTCAGCCTGAAGGGAGAGCTGGCAGAGACCCCAGATTTGGGATATCTGGCTTTCTGTATCCCTGGCACAAATGGTCCTAGGAGGAAAAAACTGTGGTCTTTTTGCTGGGCTGGACTCAGGTGCAAAATGCTTTAGCAGAGTGTACAAGAGATCAGCACAGCCACAACATAAAAACAAAAAAAAAAGCCAATTCTGCTGCATTTTTGGGCCCAAACACTGCTGGGCTGATGGCCGTGGTGGAGGGGAAGGAGCAGCACCAACTGATCTTGGTCCTGGCAAGTCACAGGCAAATAACTCAGCAGGGCCAGGTCTGGCACTGGCATTTCCAGGCAAACCAGTGGCCAGGCAACATCAATTGGGAAGCCTCGAGCTCCCTAAATAGCAGGCAGCACAATGCAAGCACGAGCTGGGAAAATAAACAAATAAAAATAAATTATTGATCAGCCACAGCCCAAGCCCACAAGGATTCAAGTCCCTTCCCAAACACGACTGTCACTTGCTAGAGCAGCCCTCCCTGGACGGGCCCCATACCCATGCAAATGTTCAGTCCCTTTTTTACATTATTTGTGTGGCTGACCATCTCTGAAGGAGAAATCGCCCAGTAGGGCTGTCTTTTCTAAAGGTCTATTGTAAGGGTTTATTTTATTTTATTTTATTTTATTTTATTTTATTTTATTTTATTTTATTTTATTTTGTGGTAGAGAGAAGGGGTCATTGTCTGATGTGGTCTGGAAGATCCTGTTCACGTACAGGAGCCCAGATTGACTCTTATCCATGATATTTGTGTTTTAATCTGTCTGTGAAAAATCCCATGTGCCCTGCTGGGAGGTGAGACCTCTGCTATAAGATGCATGGCCGTCCCTGCTTACAACTCATATAATGCTCTGTGCTAATAGCTCAGATCAGGAATGCTCTTCCTGAAAAAGGATTTTCTAGGGATTCAGAAGGAACAAGGAAAATGAAATTAAATGCGTGCTCCTGGAGCTGTCACAGCCAAGCAGAGCGCTCATGGTTTTAATCTGTAGTTTTAATGGTACAGTAAGTCCCAGCCCCTCTAAATATGCACGTCTGGAATATTGAAAATTGCTATATTTAGCCAATTTCTTCCCAAAAACTCCTAGATGAGCATTCCTTGAGGCTTGCTGCCACCACGTGGCTGGCTCAGGAGCTAAACCAAAAGCACAGAAAGGATCTTTGCCCAGCAGCTGGTATCAGCCCGAGGTGGCTGTGCCACAATCAGCCTCAGGTTTGATGTTCTGGCTTCAAATAATGTCCCATAATCAGGCCAGGCTTTCCTAACCCACAGCATCCACATAAAACTGTCTCTGCAACGCAATTTCTCAGCTTATCCCATCACCTTGGCATCCTCTTTGTCTCTGTTAACCTCTGCTGGGAGCTGGCTGCCATCCCCAGAGCCTTGGATAAATCTCCTGTCACTGACTTTACTTCTTCATGAACTGCATCACTGGTGTACCCAAAAAATCTCTGAGGGGCTTTTTCCTGCCATTCCTTGAATGTAGAGAATCCACTTCCTTGGAGGTGATACATCCAAACAACTCCTCCTGTAAATCCTTCTTCAGATCTTTCTATGCCATTGGAAAAATGCAGTTATGCCACTTGACAAATACTCTGTTTTTACCCCAAATATCGTGGCTGTGAGGGCTGGAGGTAGTAAATGAGAATTTATTCTTCCTGTCAGAGTGGGTTTGGGACAATAAACATCCAGTTAGACAAAACAAAACATTCTGTTTGTGTTTTAGGATGCTTTTTGAAACTTCTCTTTCATGACACAGAGCTAAATTTGGGCTCATGCTTCCTTTCAGAATGAATAATTAAATTTTGGGGGATTTTTTTTAGAAATGGTTGGTGCAAACTGGTGTTGAGTAATTCATTGGTATATTTTGGAAAGTAGCGTTGATTCAAAAGTAGTCTGCATCAACTTATTAGCATATAGTCAGTGAAAAAGAGACTTCAGAAAGGTGATTTGCCAGTCTCACTTCACAATTTAAGCCCTCTCATTCGCTGACCCAATCAAAGCAAGGCAGAACTAAGTCTGCACTAAAACATCATCTGTTCTGACACACACTGATACAGCCCTGCATCACTTTCTCCTGCAGGACAGACAGCAGCTTGCATTGTTCCTGCCTCTAATGTGGGCTTTCCCTGCTTAAAATAAATGTTCTTGAGTCTCAGAAACAGCACCCAGGTGTGTTTTCCCCCCCTTTTATTAGATTTATTTCCTTTTATTAACTAGTCTGTATCTGCAAAGCAAATCACACCAATTGAATTTTCACACAGTTATAGCCAAAAGTGACCAGACTGCAGAGATCTGAGACTTGTCCTGAATGCAGAAACTATAAACTGCAGACCTACATCGCAGCCAGGCTTGACAGCAGCATGTATTATTGTTTCCCACACTCCAGCTTTGTGTTCCTTTCCCCTTTTTTCAATTCTGGAACCCCTGAAAAAGCCTTTGGAACAGATGTATCCCCTCCAAAAAGCATCTGTTTCATTGCACTGAAGTTTCCTAAGAGGTTTCATTGAATAGTACCCACCAGACACAGCTACAAATGCTCCCACTGTCAGAAAGAGCCAGGCTATCCCTTTCACATGGCTTGCAAAACCTCTGCTTACTCTCAGCTTCTCAAGCCTGAAAACAGACCTAAATTCTTCCTTGAAACACAGCTATCAAAGCCAGCTTATGATATAACACAGCTGTGATTCGAGTGTTTGAAAATTCACCTTCTTCACCACTAGCCCATGGAGAAAACATCCCTTCTTCCACCATCTATGGCCTGTGGAAATTCTAAATCACCCACAGTGAGTACCCAGGTACTGCAGGCTGGATTTGATCTGCTTTTTGCTTTCAGGATGAGTGCACCCTGCAGGACTGTTCAGCATCACCTTCTGCACCACCATCCCCACAGATAACACAAACAAGACTTGTTCACACAGTCACAGGATGGCTGAGCTGGAAGGGACCTTCAAAATTATCTAATTTCACACACACACATCCCACCAGGGATAGGGACACTTTTCACTAGACCAGGTTACTCACAGCCATCCAATATGGCTTTGGACACTTCCAGAGATGGGGCATTTTCAGCTCTTTTTGGTAAAATGCTGATAAATCAGCACCCTTGTCCTGTGAGGGGTAGTTCCTCCCGCCTCCAGCAGCCACCTGGAGCTTAGAAGTATGAATGAGTATGTCACCCTGTTCTTATAAATTCTTCTAAGTCTTCTGATGTTTACATTCTTGTAACAAACTTTCTCACGCACTTTATGTAAATAATTATTGTTTTTGCATTCCTTCTGGAGGGAAAAAAAAATTGATAGACTGTTATCTTGTCCAGTGTCATTGGAGAGGTGGCACTGTCCTCCTCCAATCCACTGTCACTTTTAAAAATCTATAAATGTTACAGTTAGAAAATAAACTTCCCTTCTTTTTACCTCAGAAATCCCAGTGTGTGTGTTGTTTTATTTCATGTCCTGAAGCCACAAGTATGGACAGTGCTGGCCACTTCATCAAACCCAACGTGACACCCTCCCTTGCAGCCATCCCCTCCTTGTGACACTCTTGCTGTTGTCCCCTGGCAGGAGGATTACAACCAGCTGAGACCCCTGTCCTACCCCAACACAGACGTGTTCCTGATCTGCTTCTCCGTGGTGAATCCTGCCTCCTACCACAACGTGCAGGAGGAGTGGGTGCCTGAGCTGAAAGTCTGCATGCCCAACGTGCCTTATGTCCTCATAGGAACACAGGTAAAGCTTCTCCTGAGCATCTGGAAAGGTTTCCTATTTAATTCATAGGAAATTCAGCCAGATTTTCCCATTAGAGGAAATTTCAGGGACTGGGAATGGAATCCAATGTGCAGGTGTCCAGACTGGCAAAGCTCATCCCATCTTTTTATTCAAATGTATATTAATGTGTCATAAATACCTATAGGGAGAAAAGTTTTCATACAGGTCTCAAATGAGGAAGGAAAAAAACCATCAAAGTTTGTGGCTAGAAGCTGAAGGTAAACTTCAAACTAAATTTTAGGAATTGGAGTAATCAGCCAAATGACATGGGAAGGAAGTAGCCTCCCTTCATGCTTTTGCATCAACATTACAACTGGTGACTCACCATCCTGCTTGTGTTATAGTGATTGTCAGACTGAATGATCAAACCCTTTTATTTTGGCCTTAATATCTATTAATCTGTCAATCAAATAAAAATGCCTTAAATATGGGTTTGTTACCAAGACACAGAGAGGATAGAGACTGTGAGGGTAGGAATACAACCACATGGAAAATGTCAGAGAACTGGACAGTAACCTAAGTCAAATTAAAGAAACAGATCAAATTCTCATCAAAACCAAAGTCCTCATGCCACAGGAAAGGCAAATAATTCAAACAATGGCTTTGTTTTCTACAATGGAATAATTTAAAACACCCATTTAAAAATAAAAGCATTATCCTTTGAATCACACAGTCTGAAAATGGACAGGTTTGAAATGCCAGAATACTTCACTTTGATGTTTCCCGTGGAAACAAAGGATTTTGTTTCAAGTCAGACTGAGCTGTGTCTCTCTGGCCTGTCAGGGTGGGGTTTGGGCGATGCAGTGCAGGGTTGCAGCAGCTTCCCCTGCCAGTGGGGTTCTTTCCTGTACCACACCCATCTGAGCTGGGGCCCAATAACCTGCAAAGAACTAATTCATGGTAAAATTAAAAAATTTAAAAAATAAAAAGGTGAGTAAATGTGCAATTCACTTCTGAAGTATCACCTGAGTTGAGGAGTGACAAGAGATGCCCTGATGTAAAGCCATGAGTATCCACCTCAAGAATTACAGCACAGATTTTGTGTATTTTGCACTAGATTGACCTCCGGGATGATCCCAAAACTTTGGCGCGGCTGCTTTACATGAAGGAGAAACCACTCACCTATGAGCACGGAGTGAAGCTGGCAAAGGAGGTAACAGCTTCTTCTGATGCCACATGAGGCTGACTGATCACAGCTTCCCTCTGGGTTTCTTTCCTTCAAGGCTCCCCCAAGGCCCCTTGGTCCCAGGCAGAGATTGGAGCCTCTGTTCAAACAGGCTGGACCCCTTGTGACCCCTGAGCCTGCACTTCTGCTGTAATGTTAGTGGGAACATAGAATATCCTGAGTGAGAAGGGTCCCAAAAGGGTCAATGATTCCAGCTCCTGGGCACACACATGACAACCCCAAAAATCACACCATGTGTCAGAGAGAATGGTCCAAACACTTCTGATCTCTGGCAGGTGCCATGACCAAGCTCTAAGAAAAGCATGGAGGAACACAGGGCAGCAGGTGGCAAATGGGCATCAAAACAGGTTTTACTGCCTGTTTTATCTAAGTCAAGTGTTTCTTGCTCAGGGTTCTGCCAGGTGATGCATGTGGCAAACCCCTCTCTGCAGCCAAGACACCTCCTGTTAAACTCCTCCTTATCCCTTACAAAAGCACTGACAGCTGGATTCCCACATCCATTGCACTTCAGGCAGCAGAGAAGGTGTTCCCAAAGTTTCTGTGGCATTGTACATTTCTTCTGGAAAGGCAGAGGGTTAGAAGCACTCCCCAAGCCCCAGGGTGCAGGATTCTGGATCCTGGCCTTGTCCTCTTTTATGCTGCAGGTGCTATTACTGTGCCTGGCCCTCAAAATCAGAGCATCCATGAGCAGAACAAGCTGAATAAGCCTCAAGGTTGCTGAACAAGCTGAGGCTGCTTTCCCAGACCTCTGTGGGTGTTTGTGTCATGCCAGCATACCCAGGAGTTCCTATCTCAAAATGATGCTTCCCCACTCCCAGAAACCAGCTGGAAGCCCTCCCCAGGTAGCAGCTCCCAGGGACTGGGGGAGGCAGGACACAAGAGTGGCAGCTCAGGGCAGAAGAGCCAAGTGTGTGAAGGGGTTCAGCTACAGCCCAGGATTTCCTCAGAAGCCTCCCCAACTGCACAGGCAGGATGCCAAGCTCCTGGTCCAGCCCTCAAACTGGAGGGTCATGTAGGGAATTCTTGCAGCCATTCACCCCCATGTGGTCAGATACTCATGTGGATGCTGATTCCTCAGGATGACCACATGAGCTTGTCCCTTCACCCCACAGGCAGCCAGATACAAACCAGAGAAATGGTCTGATGCAGAAAGATGCTGGAACAGCATCACTCTGTGTCTCCCAGCAGTGGTTACTGACTCTCATTTTCCCTCCTCTCTTTCAGATCGGAGCCCAGTGCTATCTGGAGTGCTCAGCACTCACACAGAAAGGCCTTAAGACTGTCTTTGACGAAGCAATCATGACCATTTTCCACCCCAAGAAGAAGAAGAAGCGCTGTGCAAAGTGCCACAGGTGCTGCACCCTTGTGTGACGTCCCCTGGGAAGCAGAGCCAGCTGAGTTCAGTGAAACCAAGCAGGTTAGAAAGGCAATGAAGGTCACACACAACTGAAAAGGGGAGCATGACCAGAAAAGGGTCCTTCTTACCCAAATATAGGAGCTCTCCATGCTGTGAAACCTCCAAGTTGTATCACCCTTGGCCAACTCCTGTCTCTGTGCTTTCCTAACCCTCCAGAGCTGTTTTGCAGCCTGTTCCCACTGCTGCAGACTGCACCAACAGAAACCAGGATGCCTGCTTGGCTCCTCACCTTGGGAATAAGGTGAAGGTGGCTTGGGACAAAACAAAGAGCTAAAGACAGCAAAAGAAACAGGAGAAACTCCTTTTGTGGCCTTAAGTAAGAATTGATCCAAATTAGGAATTTGCAGTCCTTAGGAATTGAATCTGAATTGACTGAAAACACATGGAGATCTGTAGAAATCTAATATGTAAGATATACACTATAGGTAGGAATGTACTTTAAAATTGCTTTTCTTTTATAAGACTTGCTAGTTCAGGAGATACTTTAGTTTGTTCAAACCACATGGAAGCAAAGGTGGAGTGATTCCAGTTTATTTTCACTTAATGGTGAAACTTCACAGCATCAGGATGTTGCTGCACCCAAGCTATCAAAATGGATCAACATTTACCTCCAGACTCAAGGAATGTTCTTACAACTGAAAAAAAAAATGCAAATAACTGTATTTTTACAAAAGAATGTTCAGGCTGAGCCATGTTTCCTTAAGCTGGGAAAGAAACTACAGAATTGTAGCATTAATGTACTGAAACAAAGAAATTCTGCCACCAAAGAATGTTGCCCTAGACATGAAATAGCAGCACGGAACAATCTCTCTTCCAACTGAGAACAAGAACGAGACATATTGCCATGGCAACTGAGAATTTACCTTACAGATCAGCTGGATTTCTACATCTCACCCAACAGCCAATAATAGAAAAAAAAGCCAAAGGTCATACTGACTTTAAGTGCTTTGAGGTGATCCAATTGCCTTAAAATTATCCTTTTTTTATGAAGTATTTCTGTAAAAAACCTCATCAAAGTGGAGTTGTGAACTTGTTGACTTTTTGTAGCCTCCGCCCTCCCATTCATTTCTTCTCTCTATGCTCCCATTTTTCCATCTCCACAGGGAGCTCTGTTCCACAGCCCTCAGGAGTGGACTTTTCCACGAGTGGCAGCTGATGGGCTGCAGCCAAAAGCATGGAGATGGGACGTCCACAGGGGAAGGGAAGCTCCTGTGACCTCCCCTTCCTGCTGGGGAAATTGTGCCTTGTCACTAAAGCATGTCCCAGGACCCTGCAGTTTGCACATGGCAGCAGACAGACACTCAGAGGTGAACTCAAGGGTGTCTTGTTACTTGCAGCTGCCTCTGGGTACCCAGGCAGTGCCACAAGACTGTCTTGTCCTGGATTTCAGTCCCCAAGCAGGAAACGCCAGCACCAGCACACACAGATTTGAAGAAGTAACTCCTTGCAGAAGCTGTGTCTGTAGCCAGCATGTCCAGGAGTGCCAGGAGGGAGCAAGTGACAGCAGTGGGACAACAGTGCCAGCCTGGGGGCACAGGCCCTGCTCCCCTCTGCACCCCATCCCAGGAGACTGGCAGCCCTCTCCCCTTGGGAATCACAGTGCCCTGACTGAGAACTCTCCTGTCACCAGACAAACCAGGCAACTCCAGACCTGGTGTTGGCCAGAGTGACTGCAACAGGACCATGGGAATGGCACCCAGGGCACGTGGAAGGGACAAGCTTGGTGCAGTGCCCAGTCCTGCATCAGGACCAGGCTCATGGATCTGAGCTCCTCCTTCAGCACTAATTTCATACAATTGTAGGATGGTTTGGGTTGGAAGGGACCTCAAAGATCATCTAATTCCAACCCCAGTTTACTGTGGACAGCTACAGAAACCAGCTCTGACACCCCACAACATTTCCAGGTAGAAATCAACAATTCTCTCTGACCAAAGCCATCAGACTCGAGGCAAATGCTTTGCTCTTATTTTTACCCAGTGCCTTCCACTCACCATCCTTTTCCTCTTGCACACAAACATGGATGAAACACAGTTGAGCCATACCTGAGACAGATAAGTTCCCCTCATTTCTGGTGACTTTTTGTGCATATTTTCTGTTTGCTTTATTATGTCCCAGGTATTTACTTCAGAGGGCCTGGCTGCTAAAACCCAGCTCAGAGTGAGGTGCAGGGGTCCATGACGTGCCACAGAGTTTGTGTCCATCCCCAGTGAGTGTTTACCTTAACAGGACACTTTCAGCTGAATTATAATGTGTAAAAATATATTAGAGGGATATGAGGACAACTAGGCATGGATTAAATAAATTAATATTTAGGCTTACAACATGACTAGAAATCCACTGAAACAACAACAAAAAGGCCTTGAACAGATTTCAGGGGAATTATATCTGCACTGCGCTGCCTTTTACTTCAGTGGAAATTAATTAGGATGATTGTTTTAGCCCGTGTAGGTGGCTGGAGAGTGATGTGTGAGTCTCTGGTGGAAGAAGGTGAAGTCTGGTTTAGCTGAAGCACAATGCAAGGACTCAGGCTGGAGCTGCCTGGTTTTCTTAGCGCTTAAAAAAAAGTGGAAATAGAGGAAATAGAAAATCCGGAGTGATGGCTGAGCTCATCCTAATGAGCACACTGGAAAAGTGAAATGGAGCAGCCTGGCATGCAGCAGGGAATGCCACAAATAATCAGATTATTTTTTTGCCTGCCACAGAGTACCAGGAGTGATTGTTAATCTTAATGGAATGGCATAGGATCGGCAGTAAAATCAAAATCAAGTGTAACACTGATGTAACTGCAGTGGTTTGAGGGAAACAAACTACAAAACATATGGTGATGGAGAAACTAAAATGCTGCTGCTCTAATGTGTTAAACTGCAGCATCCTGAACAAATCTTTGCATAGAGAAAGCAGATAGAAAAGTGTTAATGTACGTACAAAAAAATGTTAGGGCTAAGCAGGCGTTTCTTTGCACTTGCAAAATGGAACATGTCAAGCTTGTGAGGCAGTAAAATTTCAAGTTTTTCAAACTGATTTTAACCAGAATTTGAATTCCGGAACCTGCAAGAGAGGGACAGTGATCACAATCCACTGAGAAATGGCCTCTGCACTCCATTTATTTTAATTTTTCTTCCAGCAGAAATAAATGTTTTTTGAAAAGCCATGTTTAATGCAGGTCCCATAAATATTATCCCTGTGTTAGGTTACGTACACACACCTGTCCATGAAATGTAGCAATTTCTCAAGGATCTGCCCTGTTACATTATTTTTTTGGGGGAGGCAGGGACAGCACAGGCCAAGAGGTTTTAGAAAGGGATTGTAGGCAGATGTAAGGAGAGTCATTGACTATCTGGCAAGTCATACCTAATGCCTTTTTTAAAAGCAGCAGATGGTGTGTGAACAGGCACTAAAGCTTATTTTCAGAAAAACCACAACACCAGACATAGTGCAAGTGCAGGCATAAGGCCACAGATATAAACTTCAAGTTATTTTTCAAGCACCATTAGTAATAAGGAAAGAAAATCAATAAAGGACTGCCAGGTGAAAGGAGATGGGTTTACTCACTGTGAGATGAGCTAGAAATCAGATCCCAATTTCACCTTAAAAGGAACACTGTTAAGGAGAGTCATAAAGGTTAGAAACCATCCCTGGAACTTATTTGACAATGTCCCCTTAATGCAGCTGATGTCAAAGCCTTTCTTGACAGAGCTGCCTTTGCTAATAGTCTGCTGTCATTTCAGAAGCACTCACAACTTACAGGAAACTTGCTGGATCCTGTAAAACTCATCTCCTTTGGCCTCTTCTGGAACCTTGCAGTTCTACCAAGAGTTCTTAACCTGAAGCTGCAGTTTGCAACAGAGTTCCCAAAGTATTTTCCTGCAAACCCCTGCAAGGAGATATTAGAGGTATTTGAGAGAGATCTCAATTCATCAGAGAGTTGTCATCACATTAAAACCACCCACAGATGCCTCTGCCCTTCAGAGCCCTGTGAAAACAACAGGACAGTGGAACTGGGACAGTCCTGCCACTTCCAGCATGACTTGAAGGAGGTACCACAAAAACTCACAGACACCTTGTCCTGTGCCTCCCAGAGCTCTGAAAAGTTGGGGAGAAGGCAGAAACAAGGCTCTAACCCCACTCAGGTCCATTCTCATTTGTTCAACTGGATATACACCCTGTGTAGGTAGGTACCAAATTCACCCCAAGTCCAGTACGACAATCTAAACAATCATTTCTACAGCCGATGTTGATATTTGTCACCTTTTTTCTCTTTTGAAGCCCTCAAAACATTCAAAATGGACACAAAATTAAATAGCAAAAATACAGCACTGCATCTTAATATGACATAAAGTTATTCCAAATACTTTTATTAAAGGGACAGATTTTGGCAGTCCTCCTCATACTGAAGAGAATCTCTCTTCACAAGGAACTGTCTCCAAGTTGTTCATGTCTCATTCCATCGCACTGGCACTGCTCAGGTCGTGAGGGAGGCTGGTTGGTGATCTGTCCTTGCAGTTTAATTACCAGAGCTAGCTGCTAGAGCTAGCTGCTCTAGTGGTGGTGGCCTGTGTTCCTTTGAATCCCTTCAGGAATGGTGACTCAATCATTTCCCTGGGCAGCCTATCTCTCCCTTTAATTCATATATGAATTATGCCCATCTGCTTTTATACCTTGCTTAGAGCCCGTGACTTTTTCCTGTACATTTTTCCCCCAAGTAGCAAATGCCTCTTGACTCACCATACAGAAACCTCATCTGGATTAAAAATAATCTGCAGTGGCATCAATCTGTCTCAGGCCAGGATTGTTTAAAAGCACATTTTTCTTCTCCCACAAAGCAATCCATATGCTCATGTTGGCCCAGGGACCATTTATTAAACAAAGAGGGAGAATGTAGGAATGTGGCTGCACATGCCTTTCTCCATTTATTTTCTTTTTCCCTGAGGAGGACCTGTAATGTTGTTTTATCCTACATTAAAAAAGGAAAATCTGGAAATAACAGAACATTTTGTTGGTTCACAACTCTATAGGACTGGAGGAGCATCTGCTGTGACAGGAGGTGAGCATGGAGTGACCTACGTCAGATAACTTCTAGTCACATTTGAGCTCTTTGCAAAAATGAAGACAAATTTCCACTATGAATGTTTATTTTCCTCCTCGTGAATAAAGACCATCTGAAAGCAGGAAAAAGCCTCCCACTGATTTCGGTAGTGGCTTGTGATCTCAGCTGTCTTCACCTATCAAAACAAAACAGGAATAGAAATATTTTTGCATCAAAAAGTCAGGACAAAATCACCAAGTCATGAATGCAACAGAATCACTTCTGCTTCGGGGGAGAGCTGCAAAATCAGGGCCTAGAGCCACAATTAGTCAGTTTGATCCTAAACCATAAATTTCATTTTAAGATGTTAAGGGGACGCCCATAACTAGAACAGCAACAACAAAAAAATCTTCAAATTCTCTTTTCTTTGTTTCAGTTAAATCTTTCAGAAACATGGGAACAAAACTCTGTTCTCTTGGGCATTTCCAGGAGCCACACCATAAGAGCAAAAAGAGTCAGAAGCTCATTGTAAGAGGAGAATTAGTTCAGAAACCCAGAGCAACAAGCAAACAATCATGTGAATTGCTGTCAGTGGTGAAAAATCTCTTCAACTTTGAAAATATGGATCCCCATCCCTTTTCAGATTGTACAGACCATAATGCAGTGTTTGGCTGCTTCCAGCTATAATGGTAGGGTGGGATTTTCAAAGATGCTCTATGTTGGCTTCATTTCAATTCTCATGAAGGCAATGGAAAATTTCAATGGGGTTTTCCACATGACTAATGTGGAAAATGTTTGAGTCTTTATGTTTCCTCCTTTTCTGACCTTTTATTTTGGCTGACCAAGCTTTGAGCACACAGATACACTGAGCCAGGTCCAAGAATCCTTTATACCTTCTAGCTGCTGGTTAAGGACCCCTGAAAGGAGTTGGGGCATCCAAAAACTTTGCTGATCTCACCTTTGGAGGCTGGATCTGAAACATTTCAGTTCAACCACTACTGAGCTGAAGATGAAAGTTACATTTTATTAAAAGTGTAATATTCAAGACATATGGTTATCTTTGCTTAAAGACCCTAAACTCATTGCTGTCACTTAATTTCATCTCATGCCATTCAGGACACCAGGTTTGATGTGGTTTTGGTGAAGATCATTTTGAGCTCCACTGATATCAACTCTGGTGAATTTTAACTTTGATTGGAAGCTAATGAATTCAGAGTAAACAGTTGTCACCAGTCTACAGTTTCCAGATCTTCCAACACAACATTTGTTTGTATTGATAACATGCAGAAAAATTTCTCTGATGTCCGTCAAAGTAGTTTGTGGGTAAATCATATCCAGTGTGGCCATCATGCTGTCCTTCTCCAGTATTTTTCCCCTAAATAGGCAGCTGCTCTAACTGCATCACAGACCTGGCAGGCACTGAACTGCCCTGTCAGCATGGAGCAAATGATCCCAAACTCTCCCCAAGCTTGTAAATATTAATTTACTAGTAAGCAATAACAAAAAGTTATGTGAGAGGGGAAAGACACTGGCAAAGCCTTCTCCACTCACGAGCAGAAGTGACCCAAGCCCAGGGTGCCAGGTGGGAAATGCTACAGTGGTGGACATGGTGTGGTGGCCCTGATGCCCAAAAAACATGGATTGAGGCTGGTGAATGGGCTGGGAAGTGCCTCTGTGGAGTCATACCTGGGGCTCAGCAGCACCTTGAGACTGGGAGGACTCAAAGAAGGCTTCAGAGGGGAGCAGGGAGATGGAGTGTGAGGACAACTGAATCCAGTTTAATGTGTCATGATGTTGATGCACTTCTACAAATGCAAAAATTTCACTGCACAGAGATTCTCTGCTCCCCTGAGAACAAAAAGACAAGGACACTTCAATCCATTATTTTTGTGCTTACTTAACAGTAATACTTAAAATTATTCCTTAATAAATGCTCAAAACTAACAGTTCAACAAGTTATTCAGATTGAGTTTGTGAAGCAGATGTAATGACCTCAACACAGATCAGGACCTAACTCATCACCAGTCAGGTCTCAGCCAGTTAGGAGAAAGAGGCACCTACTTGATGTGAGCAACTGAATTTTTCTCTCCTAAAAGTTGCTGTGTGCAATATTGCTGGAATATGGGGCTGGTGAAACCAAAGGATGGGCACTAAAACAGTATGTCTGATTTTTGTGTGGTATAGCTTTTTTCCAAAGATTAACCAAATCTTCAGAATTCAAAGCAAAACAATTTCAAACCAAGGAAGTTCAGTTTTCAAGCAAATGCATTCTGCATAGTTTAAAATTCATGTAAACGTTATTAATTTCCTATTTAGAGCACATAATTCTGTACTCTTTTGTTTATCATCTTTTAAACATGTAATTACTGTATATTGTAATGCACATTAATATCATTTATTGTACATAGTTTATTTTAACAAAATAAATGTATTTCAAAGTATTTTGACAGCATCCTTTTGGGGAGGTGTGCTGTTGTGTTTATTTTCCCAGATACTAATCACATGCACCTTGCAGGATGTTTCAGGTAGGAAAAACACCTACCAACATACTGGCAAGGAAGATGAGCTGTGCACCCTGTGGTCCAACAGCCAGGGCTGGAAGGGTCAGGAGGGAAAGTGAAAGGCTTATGGTGATGAAGAATTTACATGAGGAAAGACAGCCCTGCTGGTCTGGAAATAAGAATATGACTGGCTCCAGTCTTCCAGTGCAGAGATGTGGATCTTGGTTTTAAATTAAAAAAACCAACAAAATTAATTACAAAAAAAAAAAAAAAAAGAAAGGAAAAAAAAAAAAAGCCTTTGTTACCCAGCTGTTTGTTAAAATTCATTTCAAGACCAGAAGCAATCTCATTGACCAGCTGGTCTGATCTTCAAGTTAAGCCTAGAAATCCCACCATTCCTGAGCAACATCCCTCATTTGGTTGGACCAAAGCAAGTTTCACCAGAGGAAGGTTCTTTTCATGTTCCTGCGGCTTGTGAACCTCAGCAGGTTTAACTAGCCCTGCCTGCAGCACTTGCAGAGGAAAGACAAAGCATATCAAGGTTTATTCCTAATAAAAAGGCACTGCAGCCCAAATCCCGGGCTGCTATAAATGGATACATCCTCAGAGGAGCCAGGACAATCCAAGAGGGCACAGCACATAGCCTGCAATATATTTTATTCACCTTTCCCAGAGGAAGGTGGCATTACTCACCAGACTTTCCATGGTTTGATTTTATCTGGGAAGAAGTGGCACAGAGGACCCACATGTCTGGGGTTAACAGCAATGTGCCAAAGGAATCCCCCAGAGCAGAAAATTCCTAAATTGCTGCCAGATAAGGCTGGCTGGATGTAGCCAAGGGAAGGATGGAGCCATGCAGCCCTGATGCTCTCACATTTCCCTGAATACCCACGGCTGGCTACACTCCCTGGCAGGATGTTGGGCAAGACAGGCTTTGCTCTGAGCCTGGGTGCTGGTTCCAGTGTTTCCATGTGCGTACAATGAGAGCAGGAGGCAGCTGCCTGTCCCATCTCCCAAAGAGAAATCCAGTCAGTACAGGGAACACCCATCCAGGGAGGCATCCTGCCCTCCCTCTCATGGAAACTCAGCTCTGTGCTGGTGTAAATACACTGATTTCTGGCATGGTCACTGGGTCTGGGCACCAGCTGCAGGGGAGCTGAGCTTCCAGGGCCACTGGATTACTGTGGCTGTCATGGAACAGGAGGGCATTTTGGCAAATCAAAGAACTGCATGGCAGAGACCATTGCTGTTCAGGTTCAATGAGCTACAATAAACCTGAGGCACTGAGTGCCCTGAAAGATACAGATGTGACTGGGCACAAGGGGCCTCACAGCCCACACACTGCAGAACACACTATGGAGAGGAAAAAACCATCTGCAGCATCATCCCCAGTGTCCAAAAGGGAAACTGAGGCACAAAGAAATCCACTGCTTTTCATGGGAGAGAGAATACCTGAGGTGTCACTGCCCTTGTGACAAACACTCCTTGCAAACACATACCAAAGACAAGCTGTTCAACTGCTTTGGACAGGTTGGGTGGTGACATCTAAATCCATGGCTTTAAAGAGCATTAAAATGCTCCCAAGGAGGTGACGTTTGCCTGGGAAGAAGCTTCTCATGCTCTGAAATTTGTGGGCTGTGTTGGCTGCCTACTGATTCTGGGCAGGATGTACCACCCCAGCTGCAGAATTAAGGATGTGAAAGCTAAAGATCTGGTCACAAGTTGTGCCAGGAGAAGGAGTAATGAACAAAAAGAGGGTTGATTTATACAAGTTTTTTCAGTGAGGATGGTGAAACACTGGCTAGAGAGGTGATGGATGCCCCCTCTCTGGAAACATTCTAGGTGAGGTAGGACAGGGCTCTGAGGAATCTGGTCTGGTGGAAGATGTTCCTGCTCTTTGCAGGCAGGCTGGACTAGAAACAACTCAGACTATTCTGTGATTTTAAGTATGAAAATTGATGTGACTTTAACAGAGTTAAGACCTCCTAGTATAATAATTTCAGTGGGGAAAGTTCCACATTTGCAATCTGATGTTGATTGAGCTTCTGTCACCCAGGGCAGATCCACAGCATCTCTTTTGCTCTCCTCCTTGAAAGATCATCTCAAAGTGGCATTTTGCTGACTTGGTTTCAGTCAATACATCCTTCCCACCTCCCCCTTCTGTTCCCCAGGCTGGCTGCACCAGTCAAAACCCTTTTCCCACCCTGCAGTGTTTTGTTCTGATCACTTGCTGAGGTTTCTGCTGTCTCACCATGTCCAGGTACAGCCCTGACTTCCTGCTGGCTGTAAAGGAAGGAAGTTTGCCACTTTCTAACCCTGCCTCTAATCCTGAGACTGCAGCACAGCCAGACTCCATCAGAGAAACTCAGTGAAGGAAATGACTTCACACCAAGGAGATGTTTTGCAGGTGTTCACAGCTCTGGAAAAGAGTTTGTAGGAGCTTATAGATATTCTACGTGAGAAATCTCTACACACAGAAAAGGAGGGACACATTGCTTGAAATTGCTTTCATACTACAGTTTTGAGGTTTATTAAGGACACAAAACAATCTGCAGGTTTCCCATAATAACTGTAATGACAAGTGACAATATCAGAGGGATCGGGAGGTGCAATTTGAAACAAAACATGAGGACTTTTTAAAGGGTAGTTAAACTCTCAATCAGCCAAAAAACTGCTTCTCCTGCTGTTGGACATAGCAGTCTCTATTCAGAATTACAGAAAGCAGGGTGATCTTCCTACTCAGTCATAGTACAGCTTTTACAGATGAAAAAAATTATATCAACCAATAAATTACGGGTTAAATTAAATCTGTCTCAGTGTGGACAGGACACCTGGGGTAGCTTCAAGCATGCATCCCTGTAAATGAAGGTGACTGCATCCAGGAGACAAGGCACTGTGTGGGAGAGACAGGTGCAGGTATTAGTCTGAGCAGCAATTCTCTCCTAATGGCTATCTGAGAAGGTGTCTTTGTTTTGTGAGCTCCTTTGGGCCTCTCCCATTTGGTAAATCTTCCTTCGTTCACTTAATTTCCCATTTTGCTCAGGGGAGAAATGAGGGATGAATGTGAGTGTGTCCTCCTGCAGGTGGGAACCAGGGAACAAAGGCACTTTGTGTGGTTGTGGTCACAGGGGGCTCTTGTGGCAGATCCCAGGTGTCCCCCTGGTTTGTAAAGAGTGGGTTTGAGGAGGTGTGAAGTGTCCTGTGGAACGTCTGCTCTCTTTCCTGTGCTGGACTTGTCCCACTTGTCCATTACTGGACACTCCACAGCTTTGCTGCAAGCACATCTGGCTGTCCCCCAGCTCTGTGTGCACCCTCAGAAGTGCAGGTCTCCATGGAGCTGAGCAGCTCAGGGAGCTGTGGGAACACCTTTCCTCAGCTCCCTCTTTCCCACCACCTCAGCCAGGGGCTTGCTAAACCAAACCATGATCGTTGCATTTTGGCTTGGTCCCTCTGACTCTGGAAATTGTCAGGAGAGATGCCTTGGGCTCTGCAGAGTCTCACTGATTCCACGTGAAGCCATTTCCCCTCCAATCCCTGGACAAAAGCAGATGGTTCTGCACGTAATGTGTGTCTCTCTTTTTTTTTCTTTTTTTCAGAAATTGTCCCTTGTGAGGTAATTTTTTTTTCCCCAACAAAATAGCTCCAATAAAGCAAAGCACTGAAATACATGCTTAACTGTAAAAGTCCACTGATATTAAACAAAACACTTAATCATGAGCTTAAGTCCTTGGCTGAGTCAGGGCTGAGTATGCATTCTCCCTAATTTCAAGGTAGTGATCTGAATACTTATTTCCATTTCATTGGCCTTGAGACCTTTTCCTTTGACTGTTATTCCTGAATGACTGCAGGGTAAGATTAACTAATGGGGCTGGGAGGGGGAGGTGGTGGAAGTGTTGGTAACTGCATTCATGTTACTGGGAAGAAGCTAAACCCCAGATGAATCAGGCTGTTGTGGAGGAGGCAATACTCCTCCCTGGGGTGTGGAAATACGCTTTGTGGGGTATTTCCACACCCCAGTGGCTGTTCACTCCATGTGCACTTTGTGCAGGGAGAAAGGTCACAGAGAGTGAAAAGCTCATGAGGAGGAAGGGAAACTGCAACATTTCTTTTTACCACAGGATTTGCTATTGTAAGGATGTGGGTTTCTACAGCAATAATGCTTTGAGCAGCATGAGGAGAGGGGATTAAGCCTCATCTGCCCAGAAAAATCAGTGAGCATTACAGGGAGAGATCAAATTCTGGGCTGAATTAAACCCTCCAGAAGGATGGAGGTACCAAGGATATGAAGCTGGGGGAGAATTTGTCCCCTCCTTGCCTAGGCTGGGGCAGGAGGTCAGTAGGTCTCACACTCGGTGGTGGCAGTGGAGCAGATGTCACAGTCACAGCGGATGGCCACCGGGTAGGTGTAGAAGGGGTCCACGTTGGGGGCACACCTGGGCAGCTTCACCGTCACCATCCTGGTCTCGTTGTAGGTGCAGATGCGGTGGTGGGACTCGATGTAAGGAGGCTCCAGGATCGGTTTCTGTGGGACAGAGATTCTCAGGCAAGATGCAAGACAAACATCTGGAGCCCCAGTTTCCTCAAGGGGATTTTGTGAGAATAGAGGAGCTACTGGATCAGGTGGAAGGGGCCATGGAAATAATTTTAGGCTACATCCTTCAACGCTTGCCTCTTGGAGTCCTGCCATGGAGGGGAGTGGGTGCATGTATGTGTTTCAGTTTGCTTAAAGCATAAAGCTCCAATTAAAACCTGCTTGAAGGAAGACAAAATATTATCCCAAAAGCTGGTTTTTTAGCAGAGCATGAGTGTTTCGATCAAATGCTGCCAAAAGCAGCTGCTTTCTTCCAAGAGCATTGATTTTCCATTAAACACATTCTGCTGGAAACCCTTCATGTGCACAAGCTGCTTAAGAGCAGGGGTGCATCCAGGTGCCAAGAGCTGGGGTTTTTTCTCAGCCAGACCAGTCCTCCCTGTCAGGCTCACTTCCCACATATCCCAGTGGCTGTACACTGTGGGGAAAGCTCTTGCACAGCAGCCAGCAGAGAAGTCTACAATTCCTCTGGAGAAAATCAGCTTAGCCAGAGACCTCGACCATCAGAAGATGATGGGAGAAAGCCTTGAAACCCACCCTGCCATGTGGTATCACACTGACATTGGTTTTGCTGAAAAATCAGTTTCTCCTTAACAGGGGCACCCATTTCCCAAAGACTCCAGGAAAGGGGAGCACACACAGGGAATGGGAGTCACTGCCTAATATCTCCCAGCCAGGAGACATTTTAATTTCCTTCTTTTCTTCTGTGCTGTGCAAAGTGCCCTCCCTGGGAACCAAGAAGTGGGAGAGAACAAATACATTGCAGCAGTCCACTGCCTAATATCTCCCAGCCAGGAGACATTTTAATTTCCTTCTTTGCGTCTGTGCTGTGGAAAGAGCCCTCCCTGGGAATCAAGAAGTGGGAGAGAACAAATACATTTCAGCAAGAAGATGTGCAGAAACCCTGCCTCTTACAAAGGCCCTTGTGGTGCCTTCTGGAAGATGTTGAACCCACAGCCAGGTGCATTCAGCTGAGCTACACCCCAGTACAGCAGGAGAGGCTGCAAGGTCTGAGCTTGGGAGCAGGGGGAAGCAGGGGTCAAAAGATCCCTCACAGGCACCTTATCCCAGCATGGATTCTATGGAATGTGGCCACTAGTGGCATTTCCCCTCATCCCACCCAGTCATGAAGAAGGGGAGTCAGGGCTGCAAACAGACCCTGCTCCTCCTCTGGTCACTTATGTAGAGTCCTTGTTTTCATGTGGACAAAATCCCTCTGAGTCACTCAAGGTTTTCTGAATAAATTAAACTGGGCTTGGCCCCTTGTGCTTTCCAGTTGCTGAACAGCAAAGAGTCAGAAACTTGTTCTCTGGCATGTGTGTGGATGTACTTATGCTCCTTCTTTCCCCCTCTGTACACCCCTAAAACTTAAGTACTTAATATTTGTACAGGGCTGTGACTTAAAACAGGACCAAATTATAAACAGACATTATCTTTGGGATCTGCTTTTTGGGACAAAATATTACCCATTAATAGGGAGCTCCATCTTGATCTCCAAGGAATACTTTATTTTTTTTTTTTTCCAAACGAAGTAATAATGTCCCCCTCTCCTTAAGTGTTCAATCTGTAAGAGGCTTTCAGAGTGCGTAGTAAGAGCATTACATAAGTGCTTCATTAATATCTTCACATGGCTTCCATTCCCCTGTGGGGCAGCGGCAGGAGGGAGGGGACGGCCAACAACGCAGGCTGGCAGCGCAGCCAGGGGCCATGGACGCTGAGGGTGGGTGTCTTCAGAGGGCTTTTTTGAGGGGACAAACACCAGCCAGGGGTGTCCCTGGGTCACAGCCTCACCTCCCAGGTCTCGCAGCGTCCCCAGCAGGCGTCCGTGGTGACGCGGAGCCCGCGGCAGCCGGCTTTCCTGGCCACGAAGGTGAATTCCCTCACGGCGCAGCCCACGAACGTGCGCAGCTCCAGCGCCGCGGCCTGGGCGGCGCCGCCGCGGCCGGGCAGCAGCAGCGCCAGGAGAGCTGCCGGGAGCAGCCAGGGCAGCTTCATGCTGAGGGCAGAGGGAGAGGAGGGTTGGGAGAGCCAGCAGAGCCCAGCAGGCGAGAAGTGCGAGTGGATGGGCTCAGCTGAAGCGGTGGCAGCCCTTCCTCCCTTCAAACCTCATCCTCACTCAGCCTGGGAGAAGAGGGGAGGAATGAGGGGTCCATTCCTCCATGACAGCCTTCCGGTGGAGGAATGAGGGGTCACTACTCCCAGAAGTGGAAAATCTCAGTAAAAAGGTCTGTCACACAATGCAAGAGTGTGAAATCTTTCCCTGCAGAGCAGTACGAGTTTGCCTGGAAGACATAAAGTCACCAGGCCATGCTTCAGCCCCGCTGAAATCTCCATGCTGCACATTTGTTTTGCAGCACATGCCTTTCTACCGCCCTGCCTGGGCTGTGCTGAGCTCACACAAAGCCAAGAGCTGCACAGCTGGGAGCCAAGCATCCCTGAATTCGTGCTGCAATCTCAGCATCTCCCAGAAGTATTGCTGGAGTCGCCAGGACCAGCACCCAGTGCACTGGTGCCATTCCTCCCTCTCCCTGGGCTGCAGCCAGAGGGGCTGGCTGTCCCTTCAGCGCAGCTCAGACCCAGCCCAGGCTGCCACGCCAGTGACCAGAGCTGGGCAGACAGAGGGACCTGGCCAAGGTGACCAGAAAAACCCTGCACTCCTCACACCTGAGCAGCCCAGCGCCCACCAAGACCCTCCGATACCTGTTGACCTTCTGTCTCAGCAAAGAAAGCGAGCAACCTCTCTGGAACAGCTTTTCTGTCAAAAAAAAGAGAGCTGGGAAATACTCTGAGCCACGAGGTCCATTTTACAATTCACATACTATCACTGCGTTTAAATACATCTGTCTTAGAAAGCCCAGATTTGATACTGAAATTTGAGAAAGTCAGCTACGGCATGGGGCACAGACTGGTGTGCTCTGGGGTCTGTCCTCAGCTGGACAGAACAAAATTAAGTGAGCTGGGACTGCCATTTGCCTGGCTGATGCTTGAGTCTCTAGGCTCCTCTTAAACAAAATGATTTAAATTTGCTAAATCAGAGCTTCAGATCAGCATGTGATGTTTGCATCATATATGTCACCATTTTTACACTAGAGTCTTACATGTGATTAAAGAGAGTATGATTATATATAACCTTCAACGGGGTAAAAAAATGGTAAAATTCCTTCTTTTTAAAAAAGTATATGTAGAGCAAAATAGACAAACTTCAGAACAAATCAAACATTTATCCTTTGCCACTTCAGCAAATCCTGCTGCTTTATTGATGAGCCAGAGCCATGACAGGGAGCAAACACGGACATGCACTCACCTAACTCGTTGGAGTCAGAATTCCTTTTGCAGTTTTAAATTGCAGATGGTGTTTCAGGGTGTCAGAGTGAGCAGCAGGAGACCTGCACTGCAATCTCTGTCAGCTTTGTGACCAGTAGATCTCCCCAGCAGCTGCTACTGGGATGTCTAATTGCTCAAATTTATAGAAAGGGTCTTGTCAATCAAGGCAGATCCTTACTTGAACCACCCAAGGCATCAAAGCCATTGACTGTAAAGCAAGGCTCCCCTTTCCAGCAGTGATTAGCTTCAAGGGAATTATTGTTATTGCAGTTTATTGTTTCATAACCTGATCAAAAAAGGAGTATCTCGGTGAGTGAAATTATGAGCATGCACTGGGGCAAAATGGATCTTCTTTTCCATAATGGAATATCAACACCTTTGTGAAGGAATTGGAAGCTGGCTCTGAAATTATCGTTACCCCTATAATTAACAAGCCCTAAGTAAACATCCTCAAGGGAAACTTCTCAGATACTTTTACAAAAAAATTGCCTGGATTTTGTCAGCTGCAGAAGATCTTTTTTACGTGATTTCTCTATACAAGCAAGGACAAGAGATGGGGGGAGGAGGTGAGAGCTTGTAAGGAAAGAAAGTGTTCTCTTGGCAAGCCAGGCAGCTGAAACACAGGTGAGCTCCACTGTGAAAGGAAATTTAGAAATCACTGTCCACTGTCTTCACTGTGCAAACCCAGTTCTCAGCTGTCCACAGGACAAGGAGCAGATGAGGAACTTGGTTCTGTGAAAAACTTGCTGGTCAGGGAGTTCATAAAAGATGAATGGGAGAAAGAAGTGCAGCCATAAGCTCAGTGGCCTGGAGAAAGCCAGCTGCCTTCCTTTCCACCAGTGACTTCCCAGCTCCAGGACCCAGAACAATCCAGAGCAGACAGGGCAAGTGTCAGGGATTATGGAGCTCTCAGGATGATGCTGTCAGAGGCAGCCACAGCAATACAACCCAGCCATGAGAACAGAAGACACAGGGGAAACCTTGATTCAAATAAAGGCCATGCTACAATGGACAAAATAAAATAAAATAGACAAAAACAAAATAAGTAGAAATTAAAAAAAAATAATGGAAGAAAAAAAAAAAACCACAACAACCAAGCAAAATAGCATCTGTTGATGTTCAGAACACGCATCTTATCAAATATGAAGCAGTGATTACTATGAGCTGGTTAATTTACCTCACAAATATTCCATACATACTCCTGATGGATTACATTCAGGTTTTCTGTAGTATGAGCTATGGAAAAGAGCAAATTGACATTGAGGAAAAGAGATGTTGAACCATTCAGGACCAAACAAGGTACACCACAATGGTGCTCTCCCTTTTTTAGGGTAAATAACCCATGGCTCAAGGTCCTGCTTCTCTGCCAGGGCCAGCAGCCCACATCTGGTGCAGCAGCAGAGCTCCCACTTGTTCTCAGAGCCCTGGGAGCCCCAGAGCACTTGCTGGGTTTCATTATTCAGCTTGGAGCAGCCACACAAGCTGGAATGTAAAAGGCTGGTTATTTACCCTCAAGGTCTACCTTTTCTGTCTAAATTAGGAAACAGTGATTGGAACAAGTGAAAGAGGGAAGGGACTGTTTGGAAAGCAGAAAAGCAGCAGGCATTTAGTGTTGTTGCCATATTACCATCTGACATGGGAAAGAGCTGCTTCAAATAATTAATTCACTTAACAGACACCAAAAGAATAATAAAAATAAAAGAAGGAACAGAATTTTTAGTGAAAAATTTGAAAAGTTAGGAGGCAGGGGTTGTTTAAAATCTACCCCAGTATTCTTCCTCATTATTGTTCCCAGTCTCACTGGCAGTAGATGACTCCAGAGTCAAGTGAAGGGGGATCAGGTGAGATTTTGGAGGTGGAATGTTGAATGGAAGTGTTGTAAATGTCTCCATCAGATCACCAGACAATGTCCCAGACACCTTTTTCCCCCATTGACACCAGTGAGAAAAGCAGGAAATTCAAAGACAAATGAGATCACAAGAAGTCAAGAGGATCAGCCCAAGTCCTGTCACTGATCTAAAATGATCACTTTCCACTAAAATAACCCTAAAACTACTTTTCTGTAATTTTCACTGAACAAAAATAAAGCTAGAAAATTAACTTTTAAAGCCTTTTCAAAAATATACAGTTTAAAAGTTCCTGACTTATGGGGAAAGCATGTAAAAGTAAAAATACTGAGCTTAAGTCCCCTTTATTTGATTCTGGAAATGTACCAGCAAACATCAGCCCAAGCTTAGAGGCAGGTACAGGAAATACGTGCCAGATGGCAGATGAACCAGCTTTGACAGATCCCTCTTCTTCTATGGATTAAAAAACCAGGTGCTGGAGTTTTTGTGTAATTCAGCTTGGTTTCAGTGACTCCAGCTAAGATCCTGTTCTCTCATCTCCACTTGTACTGAACGGCCTCTTAGGGTGAAACAAAAGAGAAATTGCAGACTCTCACTTATTCTGTCTCTAGAAAATCCTGTCTGCTTGTGGGACAGGCACCAATTCCTGAAGGATTTGCATTGTGTTGTGTGAAAAGCCTGAGTGCTGACTTTTCCCACGCCGAGTTTTTGCTGTCTTATTGTTCTGTGAGTTTATCTCATTTAAGTTAATCAATAAATACACCAGTGGGATCTCAAATCGGGTTGATCATGAGAAAGGAGCTGAGATGAGCTATTTAATGAGAGTGACCAAGGGAAATACCAATGCTGAGTGGCTGCACACAGTAAGCACTGCACAGAGCCTTGTAGGCCAGAAGAAGCTGGTGACCGTTCGGGCCAGAAAAGTCAGTGACTGGACGGGAGATATTTAATGCACTGCCCACAGCAGGGGTTTGGAAAGGTGGGTGTTAGTTCAGATGTAAGACAGAAGGAGAAATGGGTGAGGAATCAAGGTGGTGTGGGATGGCTGGCCAAGTTCACAGGAGGTGGCACCCATAAGAGATTAGGGTTCAGTTTAGAAGAGAGTGAATCATAAATATATCAGGTAGGATACACAGCCATAAATGTTGTATGTAATTTGATGAACTCACGGGGAAAAAAAAGCACTTGAATCACTTTTCCCTATACAAGTTAACATCAGATTTTATGTCAATAGGTTGTTTACTCTTTTCTGGTAGTTTTGAAAAAAAGATAACCTTTATGTCCTGAAAACAGCATTTCAAACAAGTGCATTAAGATTGTTTAATCCATCCCCACAGCTACTGTGTGTTTGTCTTGGAGAGTGACTTTCTGTCATTTTCTACGTTTTGAAAGAATGCAAAGAGTTGGTTTGTAAAGGGACAGACAAAGCAGGTTTAACCTTGAGAGGGCACAGCTGATCTGTAAATGAAAATCAAAGGCAGCAAGTAAAGCTCCTTGAAAGGCTCTGACAGAAACACTGCCAAGTGCAAGCACAGGGAGCAAAATGCAGCCATCAGGAAATGTGTTCCCGAGCAGGAATGAGATAAATGTGGGCTCTCCCTGCTAACAATGGGACACCAGTCCCCGCTGAAGGTCTCGGGCACACAAAGCCACTTCTGCTTTAAAAGACTTTCTGCTCATTTTGCTTCCTGGGCTTAACACAACACGAGCTGGCAGCGGCTGAATGAGCATTAGGAGAAGAATGTAGTCAGGAAAGAGGATTTCTTGAGGCTGCTGTGGCAGTAAATCACACCACACTCAGTACTCGGGGGAGTGAGCCCTCTT